TGTGGAAAGAAGTCGTTCATGTGGAAAGATGTTCCCAATATATTGCTAAATAAAAGTTTATAAAGGTAAATACAGAGTAGAGCTACAGTTGTGTTGGAAACAAATGTATCTATACTTGGAAAGATGGTGGCAAGGGCCAAGCACAGTGGGTAACAGGGACCGACCATGGGTGCTTTGGTGGTGGGGAGCTATGGAGACCACACCTGACAGGAGAAAACCTAGACTGTGAAAGTGTTAGCAAGGGTGTAAAACAATGCTACTTCATGAACAATAAGTGACTAAGCACATACATAAAGAAGAAGGTGCAAGGATTTAGTCCATAATGTTAACGAGGGGCTGATCTGGCGGAGGAATTATATGTGATTATTATTTCCAGCTTTCTTTAATCACTGTTGACTGAACTTCGAGAATAAACATTTTATTTTTTCAGTAAGAAAAAAGTTATCTAAATGTGGAGAAAAGGCCAATAAACTGTCAAGTTCACATCTTCAGACCCACTCACTGGCTCTCTGTGCTTCTTTTCATTCTCCATATGGAGAACCGCGAGCCCCCGCCCGCCTAACCTGGTGCTTTCCGGCACACTTCCCTTTCAGGCACACATGGAAAATGAATTCTGAGGCAGCTGAAGTAATATCCTGAACTTTAATGGAACCCAAACCTCTTGGGGAAATGCTTTCTGCATTCGGCCAATATCTGGCGGGTGAGAAAACTTCATTTATTACCACTTGGCAAAGAGTCAATTGTAAGTGTCGTTTTCTTGTCTGATGTAGGATGTGAACCTGGAGTGATTTTTTTTTTAAAGCGGAATCCCTTAATTTCCCTTCATCCTATCATCCAGTCTATCTTCTCACGGCCTCGTTTCTCCAAGGATTCGGTTCCACGTCACTGTGTTTTGGTTTACTCTATTCCATGTCTTAGGTGGGAAATTTCGATTTCACTTTCAACATCTGCCCTTGTATTTCCTCTCTTCCGGGGTTGGTCCACAAAGCAAGTAGCTAAATCACTTGCATCCTTCCTGCCCCGTTTTATTCCTGATGACCTTTCTCCCAGGCATGGAGAACTGATCTGGCCTCCCCTGCTGGCATCATCCACGCCCCCGTACACTGCTCTCCAGCAGCTATTTCCAAATCACAGCTCTCATCTTGCTGCTATCCCACTTAGCACGATTACCGTATCTTGGCATAGAGTTTCCTATATAGGACAGTCTCTCGACTGTGTCACTTTCAAACTACCTTAAGGAAAGAAAGCCTAGGCCCCCCCCCCCAGGGTGCAAGGGCCTAAAGCACAGCTCTATGGGGCGGGCAGCAGCCACTGCAGCACGAGTTCGATTCCTGACCAGGGAGGTGACCCACATAGCATAGCAGACCTCTCCTGACCAGCCTGCTGCTCCCCTTAGCAGTGTGTTTCGGTCAGTTTGCCTATTCTGCTCCCCACTCTGTCTCTGATGAACCCTCTCACCCCCCACACCTCTGGCCTGTACCCCAGTTCTTGTATGCATAGATAAATAAATATTTTTTAAAAATGAAGAAAGCCTAATAGGCCAGGAAGCAAAAAACTATTATTATCAAGGAATGCATTGTGTGGATAATAGCTTTGCCATGCTTCTTCCAGCACAATGGTGATGTCAGGTAATTTTCCATGGCACATACCATTTATTTACTCCCCTCTTCCTCCTCTAGCAACAGCAGCAAGGTCAGTGTGGAAATAGACATTTCTCCAAGGAAGACATACAATGACCAACAGGCATATGCAAACATGCTCATCATCACCTATCATCAGGGAAATGCACATTAAAACCACAATGAGATATCCCCTCACACCTGTGAGAAAGGCCCATATCAAAAAGACCAGAAACAACAAAGGTGGAAGAAAAAGAACCCTGGTACACTTTTGGTGGGAATGTCCAGCCTTTAAGGAAAACAGCATGGAGGTTTTTCAAAACATTAAAAATAGATCTACCATATGACCTAGTAATCTCCCTCCTCAATATCAACCCAAAGAATGCAAAAAAACACTAAAACGAAGGGATGCATTCACTCCTATGCTCATTGCAGAGCTCTTTACAGTAGCCAAATTATGGCAACAATCTAAGTGTCCAGGGACAGATGAGTGGATTAAGAAGACATGGTATATATACACAATGGAATACTACGCAGCTATAAAAAAGATGAAATCTTGCCATTTGAGACAACATGGATGGCACTGGTGGGGATTATGCTAAACAAAATAAGTAAGGAGAAAAGAAATACCAGATGATTTCATTCACATGTGGGATATAAAAAAGCAAGACAAAGAAGCAGACAAAGGCAAACCAAAACAAAACCTTGAAATCTCATTGTAGAACTGCAACTGCCAGATAGGGAGGACAATGGGTGGAGAGCAAAGGGTGGGGGACCCAATGGACTATGGTGAAGGACCATGGCTGCCTTGGTGGGTGTGGTATAGTACGGGCATTTGCAGAGGCATGAATCTATACTCCCAAGATATATAGTGTTATAAATCAATGTTATCGCAAACATTTTATATCTATGTATCTATGTACATATATGTGAGCAAATCAGCATGTACCTCTTGAATGTAGAGCTAATGACTCTTAATAGTAGATACAGATGCTCAAAATGAAATCTTTCAGAGTTTTAAGTTTCAGTCTTCTAGGAATTCCTTGCTCAGTGTAGATTGTTGTTGTTTCTGTAACACATTTCACTAAGTTTCAGAAGCTGGTGCCTTATTTACTCAGTATTCTCCCCACCATCTCCCAGGGCTATAATCATAACCAACCTAATGAAGGCGATTACAGGGCCTCTAAGTCAATAGAGTTAAACTTGACTAGTTAGAACCACCTGGGATACTTTATTGCTGCTGATGCCTGCTACCACTCTCTGGGATTCTGATTTAATTTGTCTGAACACTACTCTCTGTTAGTAACTCAATGAAGTAAAAAAAATTCAGGATTTATTTTGGCAATAGTAACTTATTATTTGGAACTTATTTTGGGAATAACTCCAATACTCCTGTTGATGGGATTTCTGGGAAATTTGAAGGAACATGTGTGAATGTGTGCGAGAGAGAGTCTGTGTGTGTGCACTGAGTGATTGGGAGGGTGAAGGAGGTCTTAGTTAAGTTTTTAACATAATATCCCTCCTTGGCCTCCCCTGGCAGTGCAGGGGTTCAAATCTCTGTGCTATCAAGCTATCACCAGCCACTATGGTCTGAGTTCAGTCCCCAGGCCAGGGAGCTGACCCACACGGCACAGCAGACCTCTCCTGTCTCACCCGTTGCTCCCCTCAGCAGTGTATTTAGTCACTACATCTGTTCAGCTCCCCACTGTGTCTCTGGTGAATCCCCTCACCCCCTGAACCTCTGGCCTGTGTCCCACTTCTTGTATGCATGACTATAAGCAAACAAATAAATACCCAAGCAACCCCTTTCTTTTAGTCCTATACACTCAGGCAGCTTTCTTCTCACATGCCCATTAGAACCTTATATCTCACCTCCTCCAGAAAGCCTCCCTAGGTTCTTGGTCAGGACTGGACTGTAATTCCATCTCTTGGTACCTGAGTTTCTCCTTTAGAACAAATGTCAAATGATTACTTGGCTTCTCCCCCCTTCCTGACCCAATTATAAACACCAGGAGTGCAAGATCCATGTCTTTGTTAGTCATAGTTGAGTGCTCATTACCTATCACTGTGCCTGGCATGTAGTAAATACTTGATAACTAAAAATAAAAGTCTAATAGGAAAAGTCCACATCCATCAACTTCATAAAATTCCACCTTGCAAAAGAAGTCCAACATTTTGCTTATATTTTCTACTTGTTACTTCTACGGAGTAACTTAAACAGTGACATAATGTTTGGTTAAATCATCTTGTAAAATGATATGAATAAAAGACCTTTTTGCTCATTAAATCTTACCAACCCCAGGTAGGTCCTTGAGGAGGGCATAGGAGAAGAGAACTATTACCAAGGGTCTTTGGCATTAAAAAAGCTATAAACCACTACCCCACAGGCTGAGGCCCCTATTCCTTGGTGTGGCATTCAAGGCCCCTGCCCGTCTGACCCCCCCCCCTCCTCCTGCCATGCACCCACATCTGTCCCCAGCTTCAGCCAGTAAGCACATCATACCTTTCCTTACACCTCTGGACCTTTGCTTATGCTGGTTCTTCTACCTTAAGCCCTTCCCTTCCCACTAAATTTCAGCTCATCCTTTGAGGCCTTGCTCACAAGACCTCTCCCTGGAGAAGTCCATCTCTGGTCCCCACTTGAATTTAATCTCCTCTTGCAAGAGCTCCCAATATCCTTCACATTTCACTTCTAGCCTCCATCACATCTTATTGTCATCATTTCTAACACAGCTCCCTCCTCCCGATCCCCTGGAGCAATGATCAGCATTCCAGAAGTTTATAGTGTCACTGAAGCACCTGCTGGGCCTTGGTTAGCTGAGCGGGCCATTGTGTTGACAGGAGTGGACTCGATTGTGACATTACGCTTAGGTGAGAGCTGTGCACACTGCGTTCACTAATCTTGAGTTTGCCTCTGATCAAGGCAGCATCTCACAAGAGAAACCTGGTTCCCAAGCCTTGAAACAAACTGCCCTGATTTGGGTCCCAAATCTGCCATTTATTGGGTGGTGACTAGAATAAATAAAAATAGCTTTAAAATGTCAGTCACCGTAGGCTTTCTATCAATTTATTTGCCTCCCCCTCTGAGATATGAACTTGATCAACTCAACAATTCCAGGCTACTCGACTCCTAGGAAAGCAAACTTTAAACTCCCACTTAAAAGAAAACTTTGAATTCAGCATTTAGGTCTGAAATTTGGCTTTGCCTCTTTCCTCCACTCTCCACCCTATCCTCACCCCATCATCATTAGGGTTAAATTGTTTTTGCTTCAGCTCCCACCCATAAATTACATCCTGACTCATTTTCAACAAACTCCTGGATATCTTCACGTGCAAGGAACAGAATTTGGCCCCTTCAAGTTATCTCATTGAGATTCTGACCTTATTTCTTCTTTAAAGAACTTCTTGCAAATAGACGTCCCGATGCAGGCATTACATTTATCAAGACCGAGGAAAGTCCTTCCATAACTGTAGCTGGTTCTGACTTGGGGCACCAGAGAAGGAGAGGGAGAAGCCGGTGAAGACACAGAACAGCTCAGGACTGAGACCTGGAGCAGCAGGGCCGGCCAGCCCAGTTGGGGCTCCATCCCAGCCCGGCACTCCAGCTGCGGCCTTCGGCTGCCCACTGAGGGCTGTGCAGCAGCAGGTCTTGGCAAAAGAGAGTGGGGCTGGCTTCACGGTGTGGAGTCCATCCCGGTCTCCCAGGCCTCTGTTTGAGGATGCTGAGGAGCTTGCGGCTGACAAAGCTGGGGAGGAGGTGAGGAAGTCCTTGTAGGATGCTGATAACAACGTTTCCGAAGTTATTCTTCCTCTGCCTGGGGCGGCTGCTGCAGGCCAGGGAGGGGCTGACTGGCAGACTTCGGGAAGGACAATGGTTATGCCTTCCCTGTGCAGTCATTTTGACAAACACAGGATATCCTGGCTGGCCAGGAAAGGTCCATGCAGGATGTATGTCCGACCTGAGTTCCACCTGGGAGTTTTCAAAGGACCCTGAAGGTCTCCACCCACCACTGTTTCAATTCTGGGTATAGCTATCCCTGCGGGACACACACACACACACACACCAAACACACCCCCCTCTAAAATGTGTCAATGTGTCATTTGACCTGACACATAATGAGCAGTAAGCCCCCCACTTGGACCATAACCACTCCCCCACTTTGACCATATTTGGCTGTGAGCTAACTAGAGGTCAATTGCTGGCAATCCTGCCACATTTAATACTGATTTGAAAGGTAAAAGCTTTCTGCTACTTAGGGAATAGAAAACCCCAGGATAGTCCATCCTTCAGCTTCTCTTCCTGATCAGAGAAGAGAAGGGAAGGAAACTTGTGGCCTCTGGCACGATGAGGGGTGTTCCAGAAAACCCCGCTGGCTTTGCTATTCCTCTTCCTGGTGACTGGAAGTCCCTTCTCCTTTTACACCCTGGCTCCCTTCTCAGAGGACACCTGCCTTGTTGGGAACGTTTCCTCCTGACAGCAAGACAGGACCCACAGCGTGGTCCTATGAGGACGAATCAAGGGAGGTAGTCTCCGGCCGGGGGAGGGAAAAAGGGAAGGACGTTGGGATGGTCTGAGGATAACTGAGAGTTTTGGTATAAACTGGTGGGAAGAACAGGGGAAGGCAGGTCTCTGATGTTACATATTAACCAAGCATGTATCCTTCCCAGGGAAGTGTTTGGTTGTACTTGTTTTTTTTTTTTTGTGTGTGTGTGTGTGTATAATTTTCAGAATTCAGAATTCTTTATATATTCTAATAATCTAGGATAATCGCATATAGTAAAAATGCCTCTTTCAACCTCTCCACTGTGCCAAGACTTATTTTTCCCTCCAATTGTGTGCAGGAAGTTCTTCACAGGAAACCTGGATTTCCGCCAAGAATCTGTCACGATGGGTGATTAACTGAGACAGTATAGTCCATCGCTCCTGTAATGGGACCGAGAGGGCTGGTGTTAGTTCACATCCCATTGTAGGACCCACAGCCAAGGTTGGGGCCTCCATGCCTGTTACCCCTGCACACATGGCAAAGAGTACTTCTCGGGCCCTCAGTGGATGGTGCTAGATCCCACCACTGCCACATGGGCCCCTTTGTGGGTGGCTGCCAAGTGTTTGAGGTGGGGGCCATGAGTGACATCACTCTTGGTTGGGGTTTAGTTTTAGCTTTGATGATATTTTGGATGTCACAGTTTTTAAATCTTAAGTTCTATCATTTGCAACCTTTATGTCTTTTTTAATAGATTAAATTTTTGCATAGAAGAACTGGGGTGTAGGCCAGAGACTTGGAGGGCTGTGAGAGGATTCACCAGAGACAAAGTGGGGAGCAGAACAGGGAGACTAACCAAAATACACTGCTGGGGGGGCAGCGGGTGGGACAGGAGAGGTCTGCTGCGCCATGTGTGTCAGCTCCCTGGCTGGGGCTCGAACTCAGGCCACAGTGTTGATAGTGCTGAGACTTACCTCTGAAGCCAGGTGGGAGGCCCTATAAAGATGTCTTTATGCAGTGGACTGTCAAAAAAGTACAGAAATACTGAAAACGTTACAGGATCAAGTACAGAAACTGACGAAGTGCTAGAAAGGGTGTTCCAGGTTCAATGTGATATAACAAAATATTTATTATACTTACTATGTCCAGTCTTCATTTTGGGTGCTGTGTGTGGGCTCAGCAGTGAGGGAGCCAGGGCTCCAGGAAAGGAGTTCATGGCCAGTGCAGCAGGAGTTGCTGCAGTGAAGGACTGCCAACTCCTGAGACATTAATTTATTAGATTAAAGGCCAATCTTTAGAGGGCTTGGAAAGCACCATGCATGGAGGCAGAACTTTAGGCTATGCACACACAGTCCCCCCCCCCTTAATTTTAACATTTTCCATGTCATTAAATATTCTATGAGACCATTTCTAAGTTCTGCATTCCATAATATAGATGTAGCTCTTTTTTTTTTTTTTTTAGGGAAGCATTTCTCTCTCTCTCTCTCTCTCTCTCTCTCTTAAAAGATTTATTTATTTGTGAATACAGAACTGGGGTACAGGCCAGAGGCTCAGGGGCGGTGAGAGGCTTCACCATAGACAGAGTGGGGAGCAGAACAGGCAGATCGACGAAGTACACTGCTGAGGGGAGCAGCGGGCGGGTCAGGAGAGGTCTGCCATGCCATGTGGTCACCTCCGGGGCAGGCGGGAATTGAACTCATGCGGAAGCGGCTTTCGCTTCTCAGTGCTGTGCTTTAACCCGCTGCACCACCAGGGAGGGCCTCTTTCTCTTTTTTATTAACGTTTATTTATGTATGCATACAGAACTGGGGTGCAGGCCAGAGGTGCAGTGGTGGTAAGACGATTCACCAGAGACAGAGCAGGGAGCAGAACAGGCAGCCTGACAAAGTACACTGCTGAGGGGAGCAGCGGGTGAGACAGGAGAGGTCTGCCACGCCATGTGGGTCAGCTCCAGGGCCAGGAGTTGAACTCATGGTGAAGCAGCTGCATCTAGCTTTCCAGTACTGTGATTTCACCCCTCTCACCACCAGGGAGGACCCCTGTAGCTCAATTTTTTTTTTTTAAGCAACAAGCTGATAGATAGGATTTTTGACAGCTGAAAATCTTTAAAATGATGAAAAACAGCATCTTCCCCATTTTAAAATGTCACAAATTGTAAGCGCCAACATCAATTCAAATAGCAGCTTTTTTTTTTTTAAAGATTTATTTATTTGTGCATACAGAACTGAGGTACAGGCCAGAGGCTCAGGGGCGGCGAGAGGCTTCACCAGAGACAGAGTGGGGAGCAGAACAGGCAGATCGATGAAGTACACTGCTGAGGGGAGCAGCGGGCGGGTCAGGAGAGGTCTGCCACGCCATGTGGTCACCTCTGGGGCAGGCGGGAATCGAACTCATGCGGAAGTGGCTTTAGCTTCTTAGTGCTGTGCTTTAACCCGCTGTGCTACCAGAGAGGGCCCCAAATAGTAGCCTTTTAAAGGAAAATATACTTAAAAACTTCATCAAGTATTAATTAAAAAGTGATCTAACTGAAATTGATCCTTATGCATTTTAATATGGACTACTTTCCTTTTTAGTATCATGAGCACATTTAGTATGTATTTTTTACATTCAACGTCTTAGGAATTTCCTGAATCGCTCAAGTGTTCCAAGTGACTTGCTGCTTTTCATCATGTTCTCGTGATTCTCCATCTCTTTGGCAACTTTAATTTCATGACAGGGGAAGTATAGCTGGTAGAGTGTTGAGCTCTAAAACCATATATTTAAGACATATAGTGGGACATTTTATAACTTCATTTCCTTTCTGAGACTTCCATCCCGGATTGCAGAAAAATATTAATATGGTTCTCTTCTCTTCTGGAATTGTATCATTTCTCTAGGGATTTATTCAACCTACATGGATGGGAGAATGTCCGGCCGGCCACTTGCTGCACTCTACTGCGTCCAGGTCCAGTCAGTGCTCAGTCTTGCAAATTCCGTTTGGGAGGTCCTATGAGGACGAATCAAGGGAGGTAGTCTC